GATAGCAGTGACGAAAATGATCCAGAAATCCTGAAGCTAGCGCGACAGTGTATTCATTACCCGCCGCCCAGAACGATCGCAAGAACGATGCATCTAACCAGTCGGAACATCCAAAGGACCAAGGCGATGATTTTCGGTGAACCCCTCGTACAGATTTCGAGGATGGTCGATTCCTTGGAATCCCCTCAAACCCTGTACGAAGGAATCTCCCCTCTCCTCGCCCGATACAACGACAAGAAGCACTAGTGCGATATAACAGATCTACCGAAGTCCCTATTGACACCCGCAAAGGAAGTACGACTGTTGTGTCTAGGGGCAGAGGCTTGTTCTTTGGAACCCCCTGGGCGTCTCAAGGCTGAATCAGACGAACTCGGAATAAAGATCGCAACTAAAGTCGTGCCATGGCAGGATATCTGCGATGGGATCACCCCGGAAGGACACGTGGCCATCCGGGAGGAAGATGCCCAGATGATGGCCACGATGTTCTCCTGGCAATCAGACCATTCGTTTATCTCTCCGTCACCGCCCGATGTGGCGAAACAAGCACGCACGAAGCAGATCGACGTACGGATATGGGACCATCTTTTCGAGTTACACGTTCCACAGTACGTACCTGATAAGATTCACCGTGTGATTGCAGACATTTTGATAGAATATTAGGGAGCGACTAGCGTAAACGATACTGACATTGGCTTGTCGTTGGTTATTCAACACGAAATTCAGACGGGAAATAATTCCCCCATCCACTGCAAGCCTTACCGATACTCCCTGATAGAACGGAAGAAGGCTCTCGAATGAATTCGGGAATTCGAAGCAAGCGGGTGGATCGAACCCGCCACCGGACCATGGTCATTTCCAGTAGTGCTGGTACCGAAGAAAAACGGATCAATTCGCATATGTATCAATTATCGCAAACTGAATGAAATCACGATTAAAGATGTGTATCCCCTCCCCCGGATTGATGATTTGCTGGATGCGATTGGATGCGCTAATTATTTCAGTAAGTTTGATATTCAGCATGGCTTCTATCACATTCTGGTTAAGGAGGAAGATCGGCCAAAGACAGCCTTCGTGTTGTTCAAAGGCACGTGGCAGTGGGTTTGGTGTTCGATGGGGATTTGTAACGCGCCTGCCACGTTTCAGCGAGCGATGAACATGACATTCCATAACTTTGTCAACAAGACGCGGCTAACTCAGGGAATGATAAACTTCTGCGTGATCGTATACATGGACGATATCCTCGTCTACTCGGAGACCTATCACGGGCATGCACAACATATTGAGTGGACGTTGGGAGCGCTGAGAGACGCTGGGTTCAAGATCGCACTCGAAAAGAGCGAATTTTTCCTCTCGGAAATTTCGTTCTTGGGCTACGTCGTGACACGTGGAGGATTGCGCCCTGACTTGAGAAAGGTCGCAGCGGTGAGAGAAGCTCCGGTTCCCACGTCACTGACGCAAGTTCGAGCCTTCCTGGGGTTGGCATCGTACTGTCGTCGTTTCATCAAAGGTTTCGCCTCAATTGCACGACCACTAACGAACCTGTTACGAAAGGACCAGCCTCTCAGTTGGGACGCGGAGTGTGAGCAGGCCTTCGTGACCCTCAAGGACGCTCTGGCGACGACACCTATTTTGATCCGACCGGACCCCTCGAAGCAGTTCATTCTTATCACGGACTGGCAACCGGAAGCTATTTCCGTTATTCTAGCGTAGAAGGGGATTTCTGCTATTCTAGCGCAGAAGGGGAATGATGGTCGCGAACATGTCATGGAGTACGCGTCGCAAACGGTGCCAGATGAACGGAGGAATGACTCAGCACCCCAAGGCGAATGCTATGCAGTAGTCTGGGGAATCCAGCACTTCCATCCGTATCTCTATGGGCAGAGGTTCCGCCTCATGACGGATCACGAGCCTTTGTTGGCTTTGAAGAAGTTCACTAATTACACGGGCGTGATTGGACATTGGGCGGTACGGCTACAGAAGTACGACTTCGACATCATCCACCGGAAGATACAGAGGCATGGCAACGCGGACGGACTGACATGTCTGCATCGGCCCGCTAAAGTACCGAAGGGCGAGGAAATCACTCCGTGGAAGGAGTCAAAACCAGCAAACGGTCCTAAGTACGGACAAGTGGCAGCTCTCCCACGTGGCACGAAGCAGACCGGTGGCAATGGGTGACGGACGTAAACTCACTACCCCTCTTTCTCCCATCTCCTCTTCGTCTATTCTCTCCATTCCTGATAAATTTTGTTATTTTTGCGAAGCAATTTCTCGCGTATACGCTGTCTCCATGTATCCTAACGGGGAAGGGTATGCGGAATGGATAGACTGCCCACAGTGTGTCGCATGAGCCCATGGCTCGTGCATCCAATACCGAAACGACAGTAAACCGTGGTTATGCCCCTTGTGTCGGGTTGACAAGATCCCGACCGAGGCTCGCTTTCTGGATGCCACGTCAGAAGGGTTGGAAAAGACCCGGAAATTTCGAAGGGCCGAAGTATGGACCGACATCGCTTTGATTGCCACCTTAGTTGGTAACCCCCTCCAGGATTTCACCAAGGAAGATCGGAGGAGGGCTAACGAAAGGGCTCGGGATTATCGATGGATAGAGGGTAGGTTGGAAAAACGAAAAACGGACGGCAGTGGGATTTGGATGGTTGTACCGCATCCGTTCATGAGGTACGACTGGGTGAAGACGGCATATGAGGAAACGGCAACCCATTTTTCCGTACGGATTACAGAGTCAGCAATCGACAAAAATGAGTGGTATTGGTCCAATATTCGGGATGATGTGAAATTCATCGTCCCAAACTGTCAAGTCTGCGCTGTTGACAAGGCGCCGATCCAACCGCCGAGATCGATAGTTCCAACGGTAGTTGAGCGGCCGTTCAAGAGGGTGAGTATGGATACCAACGACATTGTGGTACCTCCTGGTCCTAATAACTGTGAGTATTCAGTCCTATTGGTATTTGTCGATCATTTTTCGAAATGGATTGAGGCCTACCCGTGTCGCACGTGACAAGCCGCCGAAATGGCGCGGTATGTTAACCGTTTTCTCGGGATGCACCAGGATACGGAAGAAATCCTGACCGATAACGGGGCAGAATTCAGAGGGGAAGTATTAAGGAACGTGGTCATACACGATGTCGCTGTGCGGAATACTGTGCCTCATATGTCACAATCCAATGGGCTAGTAGAAAACACAAATAGGGTGATAAAGACAGCGCTGCGACGAAACATCGCGGCATGGGATCCGAGGCCCTGGCCCGATATCGTCGACCACATCCTAGCGGTCCATCGCGGAACGCCCCATGAATCGACGGGCCTGAGCCCCTTCCAATTAAGGACTAATAGTGTCGCTTGCGTTTCAAATGCCAAGCCTCCCTGACGAATCAAGGCTTAACCGCCGGCCCACAAGGGCCACAGCGCGAGACAAGGCCAAGGGGCACTTAGAGTTAATGGAACGGTCCCTTCCCAGGCTAGCCCGAAAACGCCAAAAAATGACCGAATTGGCCCATGGTCGACAGGTCCGAAGCTACGAGGCCCGGAACGGGAACGCAGGTCCACGGTCCCAGTACAAATTGGGGGACATCGTGCAGGTGAGGAAATGTGCTCGCCAGGGTAAGCTAGCGCCACGATTCCTTGGGCGATTCCGCGTGATTGAGCTTGGACCAAACGGCGTGAACACCGTGCGGCTTGCACCTGAGGTCTCGGGCAGCCGATCGGCTCGTCCGATCATCCGCCATGTGTCCTACCTTCGTCCCCTTCCTTCTTCCCCATCCTTGCCTCCATCTGACTCCTCCTCCGCTGCGGAAGAGGATGACGACTGCTTATCGCCTATCTCTCCGTCTCCTTCTCGTTCTCCTTCCATTACTCCGTTCCCAACGCCATCGCCATGAGTTTTCTTACGGAGCGAGCTCTCGGCGATTCCCTGCTGGTGCCACGATGCCACATCTCGGCGATCCGACAAGTTCACCATCCGCGGCCTAGTCCGGACCTTCGACGACTTGCGCAATTCTTCTGTACTCGGGGAGTGTACGCAGCCGCTGAATTTCGCTTTGCAGGCAGTTCCCGGGCGGTTGTGTTGGCAGAGACGGTAGCAGTTCATCGGCGGTCGGCTCCCGGAATCAGCCACGTGTCTACGGTGGTCGCCTTCAGTGGCCACATCAGCACCATCAGCCCGCTGCGGCATACGACTATCAAGACGTCGCTCCGGCTCTGGGCGCAGCAATTGGCGGTGGAGTGGAATCGTTGGCTCACGCCCCACGGAGATAACCTTTTTCCCACGGACGGCGTCGACCTCGATGGGATCCGAACCTTCCAGCATGAGTCAGCGGTGGTGCTTCCGGAACTCGTCCCCTTCCCCCGTCCTCAATAAACCCATCCCCAATCTCCACTTTCGACCTCCCCTCCTTCTTTCCCACTCTCTAGCAGTCCGGAGTCCATTCGCATCTTTCCTTTCGTCTGGAATCACTTGCTGTCCCCCTCCTCGATCCCCTACAGTGGAGGCGTTAGCGAGAGCACTTCGTTGAGTTGTCAGTGTGTCTGGTCGGAGTAAGGGTCACGTGGACGCGGCACGGGGATCACCGCCAGTGGGCCGAGTACCTCGAGCTGCTTATCATCCTGGCGTGGTGAACGGAAGTGGAAGGCGATCTGTTCGGATTCCTCTTCGGATCAGTGCGGCCCGATCATCGCCAACTGATCGTGCACGAGTTAACAGTCCCCCTTGCGCAGCTGGCCGACGATCTCCCACTCGAGATCGTCTCGCAGAGCGACGACAGTCCGGTCCCGCACATTCTCACGCGGACCTTGGCGCCATATCTTCAGTGGTCGGCGTGCTTGGAGGAACCTGGAAGCGGCCGCAACCCACCATCACAGCGCGATTATCTGGACCCGCACGAGATAGTCGACCTCGCCTTCTTCCAAGACCGGACAACTTTCGAGAACGAGGAGGTAGAAATGAAAGCGGAAGAAGAAAGCTCAGAAGAAGAAGAAGAAGTCGAAGAAGAGGCCGACGAGGAAGAAACTCCCGAAGAAGGGAGTTACAGTGAGCACATCGAAGGCAAGCAAAGTGAGGAAGAGGAGGAGGAAGAACAAGGCGACGAAGAAGAAGAGGATCAAGAGGAACTGGAAGAGTCGGAGTGGGAAGGATTCAAGGAGGAAGTGCGTGACAAGGCTCGGGCGCAGGCCCGGGCACAGAAGAGGGAAGAGATCGCGGTCGGAAAGCGACAGTTGGAATTCGCCAGCGAAGCCGGTCAGCCGCACACCGACGATCCGGCCCGAGATCCGGAGCCACCTAAGCCCGAGGATGGAGAGACAGCTGCCGAGACTTCGGCCGCACCAGCAAGATGGTGACGAAGCCGATCCCCCTCCCCCTCTACCGCCGACCGCCCACCAACTCGTCCACGTACCGATGCGGGGCATCGGGCTTCGTCCCCGGTCGTTATCCCGCCGTCCCCTTGACCACCTCTCCTTCCGCCAGATCTCTACTCGCGTCACCTTCCCTGACAACCCCTTCCCCATCGATACCTTCCGCTTCTTCTACACCACGCGTCTTGCTGTCACTGTTCATCCCCACCCTTCCACCCGATGTGCCCGCCCCGTCTTCTCCCTCCACATCCTTTTCCTTAGTGCCACGTGGCGAGGCCACAACATGATTGAGGTATACTGCATGATTACGGGGACTATCCCCGCATGCGAGAACCACGATCACTTTCGTGCGGCGCTTTTCCGAACCTTTACCGCCCTCTATCCTGACTACCTCGTGTCCCTCCCCCACACGGGCAACCGATTCCCCCGCTTTCACCGAATCGTTCGTTACCAAGAACTTCCGGAGACGGTGGCCGGAATGGAGAGCTTCCTTCCCCCGCTACCCATCAACCCTCCCCCTCACCACCCCTCCATGTACCGTCTCCACTTTCCCCTCCCCGGCACTCGCTGATGTACGAGTGATGGACACGCGTCATGACGACGACACGTGTAATCCCCTCCTTGGATTGTTGATGGCCCTCCCTTAGGAATTTGTAGTAGAGTTGTGTTGCCACGATTGGACGACGTCCACACTCCTTCGAACGGTAAGTGGCATAGAAAGAAGAGCTCCGCGTGTTGATCGATTAGAGACGTCGACGCGTGTCCACAAACAAGCAGGAGCTTGCTAATATTGGAACCCCCTGGGCGTCACTTATGTGACGAACCACTTTCTGTAGCGTGCGACTTTCTGCGCGATTGCAATGAGGGGTCCTAAGCTGGGAAGGTTGGGCCAACTACGGGAGATGGATGGGAAATTGCATCAGTACCCTCGTTTCTTCGTCTTTTGCGTCGATTCTTTTCGGATGGCTGAGTCGGAGTTGGGTGTGTCTCGGGACGGGTGATTGATTGGTTGGATGGCTGGCGTGCCGCCAGGCGCGCGATTAATAAACGTTGACGTCATTTCTTTTTGGTTCGGTTTCAAAACTTTTTGGGCGCGGACATCGCGCGGGAATTCGTTTCGTTCTTTTTGAATTTTCTTTTCGAGTTCTTTTTCGAATTTTGGCGAACCCCAACAACTCTCGGAATTTCGGACTTTCCTTCCGGAATCTGTACTTTTGTTTTTTCGCATTAGTTAGGAATTTCAGAATTTTATAATTAGGACTTTCTTTTGCTGCGCGGCGCCTTTTTGCTTACGCGCTTCTTTATGTGGCTGCAACGAAATTCTGATTAGTCGGCTCCTTTAATCGGGTGTGCAACTGTAATTTTGGGTTGGCGCCATTGTAACTGTATCTTTCTTCTTGTGCTTCGGCTTTCCCGCCCTTGTTCTCTTTCTTTTGCTATGCTTTTGGTAGCCAAGGTCTGCATAATCGGATCGATGTGTGGAGAGTGGCTACGACCCCCATGCCACGGCCCGGTCATGCAGAACGCAGGCTCTCCTTCTCTAATCTCCCTTCTAAATCCTTGTAATTCCGTGTTCTTCGCGCATGCATGCAGGAAATAAATTCTAGCTGCGCAATTAGTTAGCTCTCTTAACCAGCTGTTGGAAGCTCGTGGTTGCACGATCAGAGAGGGTCGGCACATGAGCGAAGTAAGAGGTGAGTAGAGCAGGAGTTGGGTGACCCGACGAGCTGGTGCCAAACGCGCGGGGTTGACCAGGACCACGACGGACTGTGGGCGCGGGCGAACCTGACAGGTGCGGGAGGACTAAGTAGGGTGACGGCTTCATGGGTTGGTGCACGACGACGGACTGTCCGCATCAGAGAAGAAGAGAGAGGAAGAGAGAGTTGAGGTTGATGGACGCGGATTCGCTGTTTCTTTTATTTTTTCTCCCTCCTGTCTCGTGTATATAAATTTTGATTTCGGCCCCGGGCGATCTGCCCGTTTTCTGTTTTTGGAGTCTGGACTTGGGTTTTTGCTCACACTTGTCTTCGCGATTTATGCATTGTGTGTATGATGCTGAATGAATGAATGTATGGGTGCCATGTTTGATTACTTATCTTTCTATCGGATCCTTGCCTTTGCCTTTGCTCATTGCACTTGACGCACTCGTGAGTAGGATAGGAATTTTGCGCGATCGGTAATCCTGTTCTCGTTTTGTTTGTCTTTTGATGAGGCTGTGTGGTTGCCGCATATTGCATGCTCGAAAATTATGGAATGATTAGGCAATCGAACGTCCGGCCCAGCGAACGCCACGCGAGGACGCGTGTAAACGCGACTTGATCCGCACATTTACACGTGCCCCTGTGCGTCGATTCGTCGAACTCCAAAAAAGCCCCTCGGCTACAGAAGTACTGTCTGATTGGAAACGACCATCCGGGGTCTGCCACAGAGAAATCATCCCGTGCGAACACGCGTAAGCAGGACTCGACTCGCGCAGCCTGCACGTGCTCGCACTCGGTGCTCCTGACCAGCTCAGACCCGCCCTTAGGCATCTCATAGCTCTGCGATGATACAATGACACGCTCAGAGAACTCGGAGTCATTGCTATACGACCCGGACTACTTCACCCCGTGGGTAAACGAAGTCCTCCGACAGAGATACCCCTGCCTAACCGAGAACCGACTGTGTCCGCGAGAGTTTCACTGCGCCACCACTAGCGACCCCAGGTGCTATGATTTCCCCACTCAGGACCACACCCACTACTTCACCCACCCCGGGTTTGTCGTTATCTCCACCAGTTTCCCTCCCTTCCGTCTTCTTCTTCCGTACCACCAACTCAGCGTCGTCCCGTGGAAAGCCATCGCCCCCTACTGGCCCAGTACACCCTGCGGAAATTGCTGACGACGCGGCAATCAGAGGACCCCGGAATTCCAGAGGCCCAACTCAAACGCATGACGACCAGCACCACGCGGCAGTTTCCAACGGCCTGACTCATCGGAACTCCACCCACCCCGAAGGGACCTTCCCACGAACCGCCGTCCTCGGAACCAATGGCTCACCCGGCCTTGAGTGACCCATGTATGCCATCAGCCTTATGACCAGAGGCGGTCCGCCCTCTCCGCCAAATTGCACTCGTGCCCCCGAAAAACTCTGCCATAGGAGATCTCAGTTCTAACCTGGGACTCCACTCCCACTTCCCCAAAAATCCTTGCCACACCCCTTTCGCACGTCCAGGCCCACATCCTACTCCGATTAGGAAGTCGCGCAGGGCGTGAGGTTGGGCATCACACCCTAATTCCATCCTACCAGCTAGGCCCCTCACTAGTAGGACGAGTGATATCCCACCGTCAACTTCTCCCGCTCACACTTCCAGGATAGCCAAATGATGAGCTATGACCCCAGAGACCAGCAAGTGCAACAGTTCTGTCTTCGTCATCGAAAGGGAGGTCCCGAGTATGTTCAGATGAAGTCGATTGACCACGGCCGGTACCCATCAGGACTCCGCTCGATGCCAATCGCATCCGTTCCCAACCGCCCCCATCAGAACCCCCTTCACCCTCCCCAACTCCATCCTAGTAAAGAGTTCGGGAGACCATATCCTCAGCAAGAGCCAGACACCATCCTCAACCTGCAACCTCCTGCCCCCTCGGAAATTCCTGTCTCTGTCCTCGAGGGGGTGAGCCAGCATTGCCTGGGGCCGATCGAACCAGAAAGAACTCCCATCAGTCGATACCCATCTGGCAACCAAAGCTGCCCGACGCCAATCGCATCCAATGAAAGATCCCCCAGCCGGTACCCCTCAGACAACCCTGATTCAACCCTCTCTCCGTCCTCACAAAGAGTCATCTCATGCCCTTTGCCCGCCGCCTTAAAACGATCCCCTGCATAAATCAACAAGTGGAAAAGAAAGAAAAGAATTGGACACAAGAACGTGACGGGGGACTAAACTCAAAACAAAGAGAGAGAGAGAGAGAGAGAGAGAGAGAGAGAGANGAGAGAGAGAGAGAGAGAGAGAGAGAGAGAGAGAGAGAGAGAGAGAGAGATGAGAGCAAAAAAAGAAAAGAAAGCAGAAGATCATTGGATATTGTGGGCGTCAGAAGAGCAACACCTGCTGTAGGCCACTGGAAAATAGGTCAGCGTCCCATGATTACAGAAAATGAGTACGGGGGCCATTATCCCGGCCTTGGCTGTAAGATTGTGGCCAGAGCTTGTCTGCTTTTGTCTTGGTGAAAGGTCTCCAGGAGGTTGGTCCCCTGCGGGGGGGAGGGCAACGGGGAAATGCTCCCAGAATTCATGGTTTCTTGGGGTAGACGGTGAGGAACCCGTCCTCAATTCGTGCTCTGCTACAATATAATTATCTTGCTTGTTTCAAGAAAAGGAAAAAAACTGAAAACAAAAGAAAGAAAGAAAGAATTAGACGTACTGGAAGCATCTGTGTTCTGTTTTCTTCCCCCCCTTTTTGTTATTCTCGATTGTTGTCCTTTTTTACCAACCTTCCTCTCTGTCAATGTGGATACGCGGCGGCCGAAGACAGAAGTGCAAGGCACTGCCAGGCGTTTTGAAGGAAAGGCAGGGAGATGACAGGATAACCACTGGTGCCCCCCAGTGGCTCCTCCCGGGCCCCTGACCAGGCTCAAGATGGCCGTTTTTATGTATGGGTCGCTGGATCTGTTGTAACATATGATAGCAATCTGGGTGAAGAAGGTTCTCCCCTGCTCAGTCAATCCCCTGGCCCCAGGGCAATCAATGCTGGCAGGATCCTCCTACAGTTTCTCTGATGTATTCTAAAAATATAATGTTCATAAGGGACGCTGGACCCATTTTCCAGCAGGTGACTCGGATGCTCCCCACCAATAGATGGAGCAATGTTCCAAAAAAAAAAAAAAAAAAAAAAAAAAAAAAAAAGAGAGGTACTGGAAGCATCATCCAGCTTATCTTGCACACCACTGCCTCTAGGTCTTTAGACTCTTTACTAATAGACCCAAGTAGCTCTGTGGCTGCACTTCCTTCTCTTCCCTATACTTTTTTGGA